AAGCTAAAAAAAAAAAAAAAAAATCAACCAAACAAAAACCCCACCTGTTCTCAGTGTCCTGTTTCTAGAAACACACAAACATAAGACATTAAAGAAAATTTTATTTACCAGCAACTGATGTTAATTAGATTGTTTACAGGTGTTAGCTTTAGTCATCGAACTGTGGTGCCTCAATTAGCTACCCGGACTTCTTCACAAAATTCAAAACACAGAACTTAAAAATTCAGAATTTATCCTCCTAAACAAATCTTAGGGACCCTTGGTTATGTGCAATTTACCCCCTCCTCCCACAAGAGTTCTCTGTGATCTTAGTCCAAAGCCACAGTTCTCTATGCAGACAGGATCACTTCCCCTGCATCTACACAGATGCTCATGAATATACAGCAGTTACAGCCTGACATTGCTGTTAAGATGGCTGTTCTTTCTCTCCCTCTCTACTATTCACTAAATTATTTTTCAGTGCCAGCTTGCACAATGTCTATTTTTAGTTAGAGGATAGAATAATCAGCACTGCTTGGAATGCACATGCTGAGTTTCTTATTGGGATTCCATGAAGGAGTTCTTAACCAAAACAACTGAAGACAGAGAGGGAAAAAAAAAAAAATACATTCATGGGCAAATGCACACATCAAGGGAAGACTAACATCAAGTGTTAAGAGAAGCAGTAATCCCCTCTGTTGAATTTCAACTATCCTTCCTCTCAAAACTGTTACCTGAAAAATGTTTAACCTGATAAAGTGAAACTGAATATTTCCATAAACTCTGAAGAAAATGTGGTTGAACAATGAAGGCTATAAATAATGAGAAACACCCCCCTTCTACAGAATCTTATTTCCAGTTCTTTTTATTTCTGTCATTCACAGAAATGGCTTTTTACAATTCTTGCAACCTTTTTATGTTGTTAAATGTCTCTGAGAATAGAGTCAGTAGTTGGATCTGAAAGGATAGATACTTTGCAAGGGTTTTGGGTAGGTTGTTTGGGGCTCCATCCTACTCCTGTTAATATCCAGAGGAACCTTCAGCTATTGATTTCAGCAGCAGGAGGACTGGCTGAACATAAAACCCTTCCACAGCTGACAAAAAAGCTCCATTTAGTTTAGGGTCATATGCTTTGAACCCTGCAGATGTATATATGAGGTTCATTATGCAGAGAAGGTATCTTGGCTATAGGTAAGCTTACAGTAACTATCACATTCTAAGTGTGACTTTGAGCCTACACACCACACAAAGAAAGAAATGGATCCTCACGCTCCCAGATATTTCTGGACTCAAGTCTCATTAATAACCATCCTGATTTTTGAACGGTTTCATTAAATTTCACAAGCTATTTTCTAGACTAAAAGACCTTGCAGCAACTACTTTATAAAAATTGTGAGGTGTCAAATACCACCATCACCTCTTAAATAAAAGTAGCAAACAGAAGCTGTTCTAAGGAAACGAGTAAAATTTACTTGCATGTCAGGTACTACATGGAAAGAAGAACTTGTCTCTGAATCCCATCCTTCAGTGAGGTTCAGCAAGAATCACAGTGCCTTTTAAAAATCTTGAAAGGGCATCTCAAAGCAGCTAGGAATTTGTAATTCAGCAGTTGTGGTTAGATTTCAGAAAAACACCAGTGACAAACTACATCGTAAAATGAATGCTGCAACAGATTCTGTGCATCTACAGAGCACCTGTGTGACTGCCTGTTACAGCTCAATCAGAAACGTGCAACAACATTATGACTATTCCTTATGATTTCTGTACCAGTAGTGCCTGGATATCCACCTCATGGACCATTTTGCAAGGCATGGTACATACACGTAACCAAGACAGACAGCCCCAAGATGTTTAACAAAGATTGCCTTCATCCAAGGAGGCAGGGATGTAGCTGTCTTCATGAAGCTCCCAGCAGCCCTGGTGCAAGAAAAACACAATACCTCTTGGTTTCCAAAGACTTCTTACAACACTTACAAAAGAAAAACACAGCTTCACAAAGAAGCATTGAGAAAAACTAACAGTGCTCTAAAGTCCCCACTGCTGAGGATGAGGTAACTGGTCAATATTGACGCAGCACTATAATTATCTTTAGCAGGTTCTCTTGGAGGAGGTGAGGATTTAAAAACCAGCTGGGTATGTTTGTAACATCTGTAAAGAGCAGCACACAATGACAAGTTATTTAAATGATTCAAACTTCCCCATCATGACAGTGGCACAACAGTTTTCCTTATAGCACTGAGAACAGTTTTCCTCTTCACAAATAAAAGCTTTAATTTACAAGCCAGTTTTTGCTGGGCACTGTCAGCTGACAGAGACAGCATTTTCTGCCTGAATGTTAATTTCCTCTCTTTTTTTAAAAGAGATGTGCTTTCAGAGAGACAAACATCTCCCAGGACACACTAGAGGCCTTCCTTCCTGGCCGTTACCACAAGGTCACTTTGCAAAGCCTACAGTATTGTCCTAACCCTTTTTAATAGGAGCATTTTCCAACCGTGATGCTTGCAAAACTCTAGCCTCAGATGCAGCCAGACAGGGCAGGGCCTAGCTGCTTTAAGCTACAGTACAGCAGTTGCTGAGGAAACCCTCAGGGGAGTTTATCCAACAATCACATAGCACATTACAAGGTTTCCAATGCAGTACCTCAAATTTACATACAGATTCCTCATATGTGAAAAGATGATCTCCTGCTGTTCCTGCTGTGTCAGGGATCAATACGACACCATGGCGCTGCTGTCTGCATTGTGCTGCCACTCTGTATTTCCTCCTGAGAGCCAGTGCCCTGACATGAGTTTCCTGCTGAGGGAGGCCTTTTCTGACAATGTCATCTGGGGCTGCACTGAGCAGCAGCTCTTGTTGCTAGATGAACGTCTGGAAAACAGCCCCTGTGCTTCTTCCGCCTCAGGGTGCTTTTTAAGTCACACTTGTTATGAAACTTACTCCAGGACTGAGAAATTCACTGGGAGCTGGTGCCAACATCAGGAAGAAGAGGAGCAAGTTTATTATTTGGTATTACAACATTCCTCACTTACAGAACTGGGAACAGGCTCACCTGCTCACCCAAAACAAGACAGAGCAATTAGCAGGCAGAGATACTGCGAGACTGTCCTTCCACTCTCCCCTTGCAGCACGCCAAGACATGATGCACCCAGTGCCAAGGGCATTTTCTGCTTTGCCCATACCCGACAAAAAAGGGAAACAAAGAGCAATGCTGTGACCACAACAGCCTCACTGACTGCTCTGTTTCTGCACTCCAGGAAGAAGGGCAGTTAAGAGAGGGAACATCCTGGGCATAGGTATCAAGCTCCCCACTGGTTCAGGGAGACCTGCCAAGGCCAAGGACTCCTTTCCCCTACCCTGGCAAGAAGGAAGCAGTCGGAAATCTTTGAGCTGCTTGTGGCAAGGGGAGGAGCTGGTACCACATCTACCAGACCACATTAGCTAGGGGAAAATACACCTATTAACCAAAGTGCAGATGGGATGTTCCCAGCAGGATGTGGGAGCAGCCTGTATTGGCAAACTAACCACCCAGCAGGGAGTGCCAGGTGGTCAGCAGTCCATCCCATGCTTCCTACCCAGCTTGGTTAGCCCGTTTTTTACTTGTACAAGTCTGACCGGTATTTCATGTTCTGACCCTGTCCCCACCTCTTTGATGTCAGCATCCATTTCTAGCCTTTCTCCATTGCCCTTACATCTTTTGGCTACCTCTCTACCCACACGTTTCAGAATAAATCTATCTTACAAGACTATCACAGGGCAGCAGCCAGAGCATTCCTGTCTGTCTGCCATGGGAGCTGTGAGGACCCAACACCCAGCCAGTTCTGAACAAGTAAGCAAGAAATCAGTGCTCTGCTCCCATTCCTCATGAACTACATTTGGGAAAAAAAAAAAAAAGAAAAAAAAAAAAAAGAAAAAAAAAAAAAAGAAAAAAAAAAAAAAGAAAAAAAAAAAAAAGAAAAAAAAAAAAAAGAAAAAAAAAAAAAAGAAAAAAAAAAAAAAGAAAAAAAAAAAAAAGAAAAAAAAAAAAAAGAAAAAAAAAAAAAAGAAAAAAAAAAAAAAGAAAAAAAAAAAAAAGAAAAAAAAAAAAAAGAAAAAAAAAAAAAAGAAAAAAAAAAAAAAGAAAAAAAAAAAAAAGGAAAGAAAACAAAAAGGGAGGTGGAAAGCAGTATAAAGGAAGTTTCACAAGTATCTCATGCCTATAAGGCTCTGGTGTTTTCTTCTCAACTGGGTGG